TGGAGTGTGTTGATACAGTCGGCGCGAAGGACTGAAACCAAGCGGCTGATCCGATGTTTAATAAAGATCTGACAACATTTGATCTGTAGTAACCTAGTGTAAGAAAACAGACACGGCTAATGTCATGAGTTGTGTCTCCTCAGAAATCTTCACCATGTTCTGTCAGAAGATCTTCATGTCTGTTCCTGAGGAGAGGGAGGCGGCTGAATAATGCTGGACAGACTGAACAACATGACTGTCCAGCATTATTCGGACTGCGGCAATATTTCTGTCTGAACATTCTTGACATGTTTACATGTTTTTTTTTCTTCTTCTGTTTTTTTTTTTTTTTAATCTTTATCTAACCAGGTAGGAAGCTGTGGTATTTTAAGGGATGGCTTGGCTTGTTAAAGGACTGTGAAGTAGTTGTATGAAGGCACATTTTATGAACACTACAAAATATTGCTAATTTTCATGCCATTTAGACTAGTTTTTCCACTGTTTTTATTCTAAATCTAATTGACAATAATATCTCCTTTTTAAAGATAGAACATGTTTATATGTTGCATGTTAGTTAATGGAGAGTCATACAATGTGATTGTATACCGCAAACACAGAATCAGAAGCTGCATACAATACTCTAGTGGCCTAAAACTTACAAGTTTATTAAACACCTAAAGTGTACAAATGAGTAGCTTAGCAAGACAAAAGTTTTTTTTAAACTTTCTTTACATTTTTTAAACACTAACAACCAAACTACGCATAGTTTATTATAGTTTACAGTTTTATAGAATATGAAAGCTGTGAGTTAGACTTTCTGCTCCTGTTATAGAAATATGAGGTAAAAACAGAAGAAACAATCACTGACAGTGTACAGTGTATAAATAAGGTCAGGGTTGGATGAGGAAATGGTTAACTAGCATAACACTGATTACATTATACTCATACGCTACTAATATTTCTTTAAAATAACAATTGATTTCAATATTTGTATTTTTTTCTAATCATTTGTAAAATGAATCCGCAGCACTATTTTAAAGCACAAACTAAAGTGAGATAAAACAGTGTATGTAATGTTTCTTTAAGATGTGTTGCTGTGAAGCAGGTCTGTTGCTGTATCATTTTATTCTCACATCACACCATGTCAGAGTCTGCGCTGCAAATGTGATGATATTGCGATGAAACGACAGTGGATGCCAGCACCTGTTTGTGGGGCATTATTATAAGAAGCTGAAGACTTGTATAGATGTCATTCTGATAGTATTTAGTGAACCACATTGTAGTGTTAGTGTTTTGTATTGCGTGTATCTATAGTCTGTGCCATATCAGTGCTGATATTCCAGTTTTTTATCTTTTATTGTCAATATAAGACCAGAATGAATGTTGCAAATTTAGTGACATCAGCTTTGCTTAAATTTTTTTAATAGGAAATGTACCTTTAAAAACTTAAATCTGAATATCAGAGGTTTTTCCAAAGTTACTGCAAGCACTTTCCCAGTCTGCTCAAGATCCCAGAGGGAAAAGTCTCTGAGGACAATGAAGGAGGGTGGGGGGGTTCTGTGGGTTGGGAAAGGTCCACTTAAACATCAACCACTGGTTAGTGAATTGTCAGCCTCTACTCACTGCGCTGACAGTCCAGGTTTTGCAGGACAAATCAACTGGAAATGCATATACTTACATGTTGAAAACACAAAACAGAAGAATGAGTGCCGCTCTTCTAACATAACCTCCGAACCTAAAGCTTTCAGAATTTCTCACAATGGCAGACAGCAGAACGATGGAAAAATGACCTCCTGCAGGTTTATTCTCTTAGTTGGAACATCCTTTTTGTGATGAAATGAGGTCTTTCTCTTTTAAGAAACACAAACACACTTCAACCATCATCTTATTTGTTAGTGGAAATTGGACCAAGGCACAGAATTAGCACTATTTACCAGCAAAATACTGGTAAAATATGCAGGTGGGTTGTGGATTTGCTTTACTCACCGGCCAAAGAAACAATGGTAATCTATTGAGTGGTTGGTAGACATTTGGTCGGAGGACAAACAAGTTAATTTGCACCCTAATCACAACACTTTGGCCAATGATCAAAATAGAAATTCACATAAAACAGCAGAGAGAAGCACATCTTTAATTTCCACCCAATGGCGATGCCCCACTAAAGCATCTAATGTTTACTCCAGATTTTAAGAAAAACAAAAGTTGATATAAAGGTTTAAATCATAATGCACCTTCTCCCTCCTAAACAGCACAACACTTGAAGAAAGAATTCTGTATGTGCACTTGATAAATCTAAATTAAAACAGAGGGTGCACATGTCTCAAAAACACACACTATATCATCGATTGCGACTATGAAGATAAATGGTTTCTGCAGACACTGTCATATTTTTATGTTATGCACTGTATCATTATGAATTGACAATACCTTTTAAGGTATTTGCCTAATGAAATGTTATGGAGAAAAAACTCTAATAGCATATTTTTAATCTTAGAAATGGAAAGTACCTATGTCAGTTATTGTAGCTGTTGTATGTCAGTGACCATGGCAGGTACATGTAACAATAAAAATATTTTTGTTCAAAGTTTGCCTGGTTGTTTGTGTTTTGTAAAGCTATAGCCAACTAAAGAAGAAAAAGAAATCCCCCCACTGCTGCGTGAATGCAGTGTCCTAATATACTTGCATCAGTTAACAAAAGGCCAGCCCTCTGCCTCGCTGCAGATAACAGTTTCAAATAGAACAAGCAATCCCAAAACACAAGATAGCTTGTAGCCAAATGAGGATGGTTCACAAGCACAGTTTTCACAAAATGTCGTCCAACGGCGTTATCGTCTCAGCCATCAAGTGTTTGGTTAGTGATCTGTATGAAATGCTCTGTCCTTTCTTGTTTGTTGGCTGTCAGACAATGTTGCTACTGATGCCTGTGCTGTCAGGAGAGTTCATATCCGTCTGAAGAGGAAATGAGAGGGTCTGATGGCTACTGATGAAACCAGTATCAGAGTTGCTAGAGACAATATTAGTGATGGAAGATTGGACAGGCAAGGAGCCAATATTGCACAAGTGACGTACAGAGCATTTCTGCAAAAAGGGAGGGCATCAAACAGGGACTTGACCAGTTCATTTAATTTGTAATATAATAAATCAGCGCATGCAGTGTGGTAAAGCCCATCTCCAGTGGAATCAAATGTAATATTCTAAGGACTGAAGGACGTACACATAAAAAAACAGATCTGAATGGTAATTTCACTAAGCAGGAGTCAGATACTATGAAAACTTACAGAAGTTCAGTTTATATAAAGCAATCTTTAACATGCAAGTTTCCTTTTTTTTACAGATTTAAATAACTATCACATCATTTTTACAGTTTCCTGGCGAGCTTTCTGCATTGTGAAATAACCCCCTGGGCAAAATATCTGCATGGAGATTCAATTATATATAACTGCTGAGGTGAGATTGATTCAGCGTCACAGCAAAACACGTCATCCACATCAATCTTTACACATAATTTACTTGTTTGCATTGAGCCTTTCGAGATCTATTTTTTCATAAAACAAGAAATATTCTGCCACTGGGGTGAAATAAATCAACTTATACCCCAAGCATTTTGACTTGTTTCAAGAACAGTCATGAAATAAAAGAATACATTTAAAATATTGAAAAATATTTAGGTTTGTTATACAATTTTTATTATAACAGTTTTTTATTATTGACAGTAAACATAGTTAGGATGCTGCATATCAGGATATTCTTGCATTTTATACATATATATCTATTATTTAGCATTTTGTAAACACATACAATGTAGGTTGAATTGTTCTTGATCTTAAAACCAGAGACTTACCACCAGAACTAGATGCTACCAGCAGATGGAGGTAGAGCAACATCAATAGGAGATGGTAAAACAGAAGCGAGATCCAGTCCAAGGTGTTTTTGCTGTCACACAGTTGTAATCAGCCATAAAAATGTTTGCATAGAAACAACATCTGTCTTTAAAACGATGTGCAGTGGGAAATCTTTCACTTTTTCCTAATTTTGACATTTAAATAATACTCTCAAATGTACAAATGTAACATCTGGAGTGACCATTTCATTCAACTTTTTCATTAATTTTCAAGGGTACTTTACTTTGCTGAGAGCAATGCCCTCTTTTGTTGAGGAATGCCCCCTTTTTATCCTGCTCACACTCACACTGGTACACACATTAACATCTGAAGGCTTCCCAGTAAAACTGTGTGATAACGGCCTTGCTCAAGGGCACCTCCATGGTCGTAATGATGGCGAGACAAGGGCCTCTTATGTCCTTAATTGTCAGTATAACATATAAGCATTACACCTCACCTACAGTCTAAATGAAGCCAATGAACTGTAATGAACCGATTCGTCTTTGGGTAGAGGAACTGAAAAACAATGTGGCCAGTTTTCTGAATCAGCTGTAGGGGGCACTGCGTCATCATCATCATAAAGAGAGAGAGAGAGAGAGAGAGAGAGAGAGAGAGAGAGAGAGAGGGAGGAGGGGGGAGAAAGAGAGAGGAGGGGAGGGATGATAGATTCCATTTCTATTCTACCTTTAATCCAACTGTGAAATTCATAAGTAAAAGGCAGTCTTTTTTTTCTTCTCAGGTAGTTTTCTGAAAGGCCTCGTACTGCTGCATCAACTCTGAGTTTCATCATCACGACCAGCGGGCATAAATATGTTGCTTGATATACTATATTGATCATGTCTGGATTTAAAAAAAAGAAAAAGAAAGAATAAAAAAAACGGTGAGAAGGTTAAAGTTCTTTAGAAGAAGGTGCACCGGGAAGCCTAAACTCCTCACTTAATGATATAATATAATATTAACTGTTCTACAGCATCAAAGATAATTTTATTAATTAACCTCAGGCACATGCAGGGGAATGCAAAGTTATGTGTACCGCAGCTATCAGGTGCAACTCATCTAATTACCAATGAGTCTGTTGAGACTCAGTAACGTAAAGCACAGCCAACCGACCATCAAAATAAGTAGAGACATGCACGTCAGTTTCTCCACTTTAAACATTTTATTACAGACAAAAGAAAACAAAAGAAGTATTTGTGACACAAAATGAATCTAATGCTGGTACACTGGTTTTGCACCAACAACAATTTCTGAAAAAATATTTATTATTCTAATAATCATGGTGTTTGATCAATAATAATAATAATAATAATAATAATAATAATAATAATAATAATAATAATGCACCCTGATGAAAATAAGCCAAAATGTTACTTCATATCATTCATAAATAGATGTGAAACCTGCAACCAAATTAAATAGAATGACCATATTGTAAAACATATGATATTCAACAGAACAAAATGGGTTCTCTCATCACTGGCTTTACAAATTAAAGAAGTACATTTGGCAGGTTTATACACAAAATTAAAATCTCTACCCCCATGTCTGTCCGTCCGAAACGCAAGTCCTGCTACAGTGAAAAAAACAAAATATCTTCAGAATTTTTTTTTCTTCACAAAAAATGATAAAGATGAGTTCAACACAATCCTAAAACACCTAATAAAACTAGTCAAAAACTTTAAAACCCACTGTTATGTTTTTTTTTCTTTAGTAACATTTCACATTTAGCAACTTTTTTTTATTCACCTGTACAAGTGGTGTCGGGACTAAGGGGAGGTGGGCGGGATTACAGGTGGGAGGGGGGGTCCTTACTGACCAAGAGGAGGAGGAGCTAAAAGGAGAGGTATCAACCTTTGACCTCTTCAGTTCTGTAACGTCCTGAGGCCGTGTGAAGAGAGCGACACTCTCTATCGGAGCTCCGCCAGTTTAAAGAGGAAATGGAGCTTTTTTCAGTCCCTTCTTTCTCGTTTTGGAGAGAAACAAGACGAGTGAACACAGTTTCAACACAACTTTTAGTGTGTGTATTCCCTCACTGAATCCGCCTGCACGAAAATCACGTAACCAAACAAAAAGAATGTTAAAAAAAAAAGAAAGCAAGGGACTGCAGCTAAATACACACATAAGAGGGATCCATTTTGGTGATATTTACAATCACTCTGTGAGAAAGAAAGGAAATGAGGGAGTCCTTTACTATGGGCAAGGATGATTTACAAATGTCTTATGTGTTTGTGACTATCTTCTTTAAAATTTTACTTTGCTTTCTCTCAGTCGGGGTGTTTCAGTCTGTCCTGTAGTACATCCACCCCTGCTGAGGTGACTATATTCTAGTTTCCTGCATTAGGTTTTCTACCCAAGACCCCTACACTTTGAGTATGCTTAGAGCATTTCATCTCCCCAATGAGGGCAGTCCATGGCAAACACAGAGTAATGGAGTGAGGAGGAGAGAAAGCATCTTTAAAAAATTCAAAACAAAATGAGAAGACTTTTTCTTTTTTTGGTCTTCCTTTCCAGTATGTTGGCATGAGCTTAAAACTCACTGCCCCCGCAAAAAAAAAGGAAAGTTCACTGATAAGGGAAAAAAAAGAAAAAGCAAGAGAAGTGCCTCAGGCTTCTGGCCGATCTAAGTGCTTGGCAAATAGGTGAAGTTACTGTAGCAGTCTTTGGGATTTTCGAAATCCGTCACAAAAAAACAAAAAAAACCAAAAGAAAAACAAAATGGTGTAGAAGCTGATACATTGATGACGTTATGTTGGAAAGCTCCCTGGAGTCTGACATTTGGAGGTCTTTCAACTTCAAGTGAGGTAGAGAGGCTTGTCCCGAGGTCCCATACCGCTGCTGGGAAAGAAGAAACTATATTAATGTATGTCTTTACACATGTGAATGCAATGATGTTCTGACTAAAAGCATTTCTGTTTATCCTTCATTTTCAAAAGGAAACCCTTGTTTAAGGAAGGCCTGGCTAGAAAAGCAGTTCTAAAACGAACACAAACGCTGTCAGCAAACAACAGACAATCAATCAGTATGAAGAAAAATAGAAAAGTCAGAATTTGCAGATCACTTGCTGCCTGAAATGTCAAATACAAAGTCTGTTCTCCAGTTATCTTTACTGACACACTGAAAATAATTCAGTACCCTCCAAAACTCCAAACCACAATGATCTGACACTAAGGGAGAAGGTTTTAAGCACAGACTCAATCTACTTCAAAGAGCATCAAACATGATTTGACCCAGGCGTGATCCCATTTGACATACAGATGAATCAGCTCTAAATACAGCAGATACTGACTTCCAGCTCAGGCGCCTCTCGGAATAGCAACACCAAGTTTCAGGTGTGAGACAAAACAACATTCCTCTTGTACCTGCTTGGATAGCTTGATTCAATAAGGCAACGTGTGCTGAGTGAAACACAGGGAAACTTAATTGGATGTCACACTTTTTCTGAGCTCGGTAATAGCATTGTTCTACTGCTGCATTACTCATTTCAATTTCAAGGAGATGCTTTGCTTTAGCAGGGAAATCGCAGTTTATGATTAATACTGTCTGAGAGTCTCTGAGTGTGAAAGTGAAGTGTTTTAGCGCAACTCATTTGGAAAATGAGTAACTGTCAGACAACTACTTACTATTCTCAACAGTCAAATGTCCCAGGATGGATTTACAGAGGTGAAGACATTTTTTTTTAGCCATCATGGCTTTGACACATTCATTATTACCATAAAATAATATGGTGACTGATGTGATGAGCTCACCCGCAGTGGTTGGGTCCGCAGTCCCTGTTGCAGTACTCGCCGTCCCAGTCAGGGTTCTGGCCGTGCACTGGGTTCGGGGCCCCTGGAGACTGTGAGCCCCCGACACTGTTCTGGTAATCAGCCTGGATATGGGAAAATCCCTGTAGATCGAAGAAGAGTAGAGGAGAGAGAAAACTCTTTGAGATGGCCTGTCATTAAGAGTTTGCTGAGCCATGATAATGTATAAGGCCAATTGTTGCCAGTGGTCTTCATCAGTTGCTCCTGAGCTCAGTGAGTGGGAAAAAGGAATATCACTTTTGTCTCTCTCCATTTCCTCTCATCGCTTGTTAAAAAGGTACTCATGATCACACTTCTTGACAGCTGACATGACAACCCCCTGCTGGATTGGAGACACTGTAGGCTCAGAGGGAAAAGAGAAAATAGTCTGTTTCCCACTAAATGGGTGAAAATGTTTTTGGGCGATTGTGCTTTGCTTTTTTTTTCATTTATAAACTTAAAGCATGATTGAGGCCTGTTATACAAAACTAGATTGAATTGGGAGTTATGCCGTTTGGAAAACAGGAGCAACTGATGACAGTTATATTAATATATAGATAGATAAAAATTAAAGCATCATGTGACACAGACGGCAATATCTGTACAGTCTGGTGATAAGATGAGAAGCTTTAGCAAATGTATTCGTGTCATTATATTCATGTTTCACAGATTTTAATAATGACCAAACCGACCTGTTGGCTGAGAGGAGGGGAATGCAGAGGCGCCTGGAGCCCCATTTGGTGTGAGATGATTGGCTGTGACTGCTGCATGCGGATTGGCTGGTTGAGCAGGGAGCTCTGATGCAGGGAGAGCTGGGCGTGGGGGTGCAGAGGTGGGCTGATCTGGAAGGGAGCTGGGGGAGAGGCACTCATGCTGGGCGGCAGCATCTGGGATTGGCTGAGGGTCGGGGCCAGGGTGTGGCGGGGTGGCCCGGCATAGCTCTGGAGGTCCGACAGTGGGAAGGAGCCCGGCGGGCCCAGGTAGGGTGAGGAGGGCTGGGGGGGCACGCTGTACAGGGGCTGCTTCGGGGGCAGCAGGTGGGAGGGCTGGCTGGTCTGCTGGGCACTTTTTGGTTCAGGGTCATTGTAAGTCTGTGGACGAATAAAACAGAGTTTGGTAAGACGACGAACTTTCAATTAATGACACGTAACCTGGAACCTGAAACCCTCAGCTCATCACAATAACACACCATTCATCAAGCTCTGATCACAACACAGCCGCTGTCTTGTTTTTTAATAGTGGCATCCATTACACTTAAAGCAAAACTTCAGCCCTGACCTATGTCTTAAAGGGAAATCCAGTCATTTGTCAACCTTGGTCTTATTATAAAACAGGTACGTCAGCCAAGTTAAAAGGAAGTGTATTGTTACACTACATTGTTTGCTAAACCAGTTGCAGGGATTCTTTAAATTTTGTTGGACTCACAGACAAGGTTTTAAAAGAATAGTTTGGGAAATGCGATTATTTGCTTTCTTGCAGAGATTTGAACACTGACAGGGCTAGCTGTTTGCCCTCATTTCCATTTTTTTATGCTAAGCTAAGCTAACCCTCTCTTGGCTTCAGATCAATAATAAACAGACAGATGTGAGAGGGATCGATCTTCTCATGTATAAGTGAATGAGTAGCGCAAAGATAGTGTATCCCCTAAAATGCTCAGCTGTTCCTTTAAGATTATGTTAAATTTACTGTAGGTTTTTTAAAAGCGTGCACGCCTACTGCTTAAATCTCTAAAACAGAAGTGGTAAAAAGTTATCTTGATGAAAAGTCATAACTGGCAAAAATTTGAGAATATCACCCAGGTTGACAAATACTGGAATTTCCCTTCAAAACTTTCCTCGCTGCCTCCTCAGTCTCAATTGTGCCTAAATTCTGCTTCACTTAAGAGCTGCTTGTTTCTTGCTGTCCGATACAGTTTTCGCAGGACAGTTAACACTCAAAGCTTCTAACAGCAAATCTTTTCCCAGCATATTGATGCTGTGTAATAAGACAGTATATATTTAATATTTGGCCTGACAGCTTTCACTATTTATTTTCCACTAGTTCACACACTGACTGATGGGGTTGAGAAAGGATGCAGTGCTTTAAAGGGCAAAACACCAAAAATCACCCAAACTTCACCTTTTCTCATTTTGGACAGTATCACTCTGAGCAGGTGCAGCACCCACAAAGTACCCCACCTCCCTCTCCACCCAGCCCCACCCTCTCCAGGCCCCTATGATGAGCTGTCAGATTGCTCATCTCCAGCCATCAGTGTTGATTAGAAGGTAATGGAGCCCATTTGTATGAATAGAGCTGGGGCCGAGGTAATGATCAATAGACACCTTGACAGATAGATGGGAAAAGGAGAGGGATACACACCCACACACACCCACACATTCACACTCACACATATATGCAGGAACCCAGGCAGAGAAATGAGGCTGTTTGCCTGCAGAACAAATGGAATGACAAAAGGAATCTTCCCCACACTACATTGTGTGTTGTTAATACAAGACGGCACTAAACAATGCAATCCACAGCCCTCCTCCTTGCCTCGTGCTACTATGCTGCTGTATACAAAGACGCCATCATTCACTGGGCGAAGGGGATGTCATAGATCTGAATTAGCAGGAAAGTGTCAGAGGTGGAAACAGCAGCAAAGTCTATGATTGCTTGCGTTGAATTGGAAGTACTTCCGGTTGTAGATGATGAGATGGAGGAAATCGATGATCTAATGCATGACACAGGTGTCTGCTGGTGAGGGATAAATTTAGGGTTTGTATTCTCTAAACATAAATATAAAACAGACGTCAGTCTGAGATCTTGTATAGCACATGAGAGCTCAATCATTTTCCATCCTCCATCCCTAATAGATGTTATGGCCATATGCTTGTGCGCTCCGATTGGCTGACCCCTCCCCCAACTATATCACCATACCAACTACAATCCCCAACCCCCAACATCTGCACCCTATGGAAATCAGGTATTGTTCCAAATAAGGCTTGCTGTTTTTGCATCAGATGCCCCCACCCATTCCACCACCACCACCACCACCACCTTATCCTAAGGAAGCCCCGCCCAGCCCATTAGCAAGGATTTTCCATCCAATCCATCAACAGTCTAAGCCAGGGCCTGTGTGTCATAAGTGTTACCTTGGAAACCAGACTGGCTCGGTACGCGGCCAAGGCTTTCAGGTACTCTTTCTTAGCCGCCTCGGTTTTCCTCTTGTACCCCTGTGAAGAAAAAAAACCAACAACAAATCAAAACAAGAAGCTTTGGGTAAGAGGAGAGGTTGACATGCTCATAAATGTGCAGACACACATATCTATCTTTCAATACACACACACACTTTCTTAAACACATCATGCACACACACACACACACACACACACACACACACACACACACACACACACACACACACACACACACACACACACAGATCCTTAATGTTTCTCTTTCCATCAGAACCAATGGTACAGAACACCTCTATTTCCTCATCACGGCACTAAAACTCCCTCATCTCAATGTGTCTCCCTCTATTGTAGCAACACATCATTTCCATTCCAATCCACCTAGAGAAATGAACTGGAACCTCTCTCTCTCTCTCTCCTTTTAACTCCACAATAACACTCCTATCAGCATACTGACATTAGCGATACACCAGAATGGTTGTTGTCATTTGGCACATTAGGATACAATCCCTGCCTTTGTATGAGTTTTGTTTGAAACTGCCTTCCATATTGTTACAGTGATAGTTACAAACCTCTGCTGCTGCTGTGTGCAGTGTTTTTGCATAAAGAATGTGGCTTTGTGAGTGCATATGAATGTGTGTTTTCTCATGTGCGTTTTTAAACGCAGGTATTATTTTGCGGGCAATGTTTGTGTAGTGTCTGAAAATAGGGCTATAGCTATAAGGGCCATAGCCAAAATCATCTATTCATTGTCTATTATGGAAAGTATTTATAGATTGTACATTACATTGTAGATTACATTGAGTATTTTTTTGTTTTTACACTTGTGCTGTTCTGAGCACTGGTAAAAATTATTTTAACTATTTAATTTAACACCTAACTCAAAGAAAACTGAAAGAAATATGTTGATTCTACAAAATCACAAGCAGCCGTGATGAAGAACTTTTCCCTGAATAAAATAGTGTAAAACTGGCAGAAATGTCATTAAAATCAAGAAATATCTGATCAAAGAATAAGTAATTATAAATCTGATTATACCATCTTTTGTTACTTGACAGTTTTCGATGCTTGACTACAGACACACCGTAGTTTCCCCTGTCCTATTTCTGTGTGCCACAGAACTGATGCCCCACACCAAAAAGAAACAGTTTGAAAAATACAGTGCTTTTAAATACACATCATATACTTAAACCCTGTCTTTACACACTGTCCTTTCTTAATAGTAAACCTTCCTTGTCCCAAGACAATTGATAATAAGCAAAGGAAGCTAACAACTCTAGTTTCTCTTTGCAAAATCATCATGAACTCCTCTAACTCCATCATCATTAGCATTTCCTACCTGTTACTGCTGAGCTGGAGATGACGTTAAATAGCAACAAAAACAACAGACTACTCTTCCTGGATAGCCGAGATGCCCTTCAGCTAAATCCAAGGACAAGATGATAGTGAGGGGGGGGATCACTAATTCTGTATTCTAGGCAGGATCAAAATAGCAGGCGAGAGATATAAATAAAGAGAGAGGAAATGAGAACTTCACACATCCTTGCTTGTCAGAGGGCCAATGAAGATGCATGGTGTGGAGGCACCAGCTATGGAGGCTGGAGGGACACAGGAAGTGTGGACCGTACCTGAGCCTGGAGCTTTGTGGGAGTCTTGTTTTGGCAGAGAAGATGGTTTTCACTTTTTCCACTATATTTTTGGAAAATCCTTTTTAGTTTTGATGGACACTGCACTACTAAGAAAAACTAAGAGAAGACGCCTTTGCATGACGTTTGAGGGTTTATGGGTTTGTATATTTATTGTTATCTGATTGTTTGCTTTTGCAGGGGTGCACTAGTCTGTGGGTATGAGCCCATTTACCCACTGCAAAACATAATCAGTCCTAGACTCTGGAAATCTCCCCAGGTGTGTACATTTTTCCCATACTGACCAATTCTTGCCTGTAAAATGTGCAACTTTGTTGGTCTCAGACTGTTTTACAGACTGCTGTTGCACAGTATACTACCCCACCCCGTCCTTCATTTGCTTTGCTAGAATTAAATTTAGAAAGAAAATCATTTTTATGAGAGTCAAGGGAATGGGGATAAACGGATGGATTACCTTTAGAAAGAGAAGAACTAGCTCATTAAGGTGAGCTGTATCTCACAGCAATGTTCTGGTAATTACACAGTACATAATGGCAGAGAAAGGCTGCCCGCCTGCTGCAGCACACATGCCATCTACTGGTTGGACCAGAATGTATGCATGTGACTGTATATATGTGTGTTTGCATCAGTGTATTTGCATGTATGTGTGTAAGCATAGAAAATGTATGCAAAAGTTTACATACATATTTGCGGACATGTTCTTTTTTTTGCTAGTCAACAACATATATGTTGACAGTGCAGTTAATGCTATGGTCTAAAAAACTGTCTCTCCTTTAGCTAATCCTGTTTCCACATCCATTTTATTGTTTCAAATATTCCAGACCAACATGTTTTGTACCTGCTTTTGTTCCTCTCCTAGGCTGTCCCACATGGAGGCCACGATCTTGGAGACGTCCCCGAAGGTGGCGTTGGGGTTTTGGCCCTTGATGGCAGCCTGGGTGTCTCTGAAGAAGAGCGCGTACGCTGACACAGGTTTCTGTGGCTCGTTGGGGTCCTTCTTCTTCTTCTTTTTTTGAGGTTTGGGTTTGGGCTTCATCATTTCTGCTGAGGCCCGCTTCTCACTGCTTATCTGGGGGCAGAAACAGGGATGGAGAGAAGAGAGAGAAAAAGAGACGAAGACGTTGCTGGTCATAAATCAGTCGATGAAAATACTGTAACTCTTTTGCTGTAGCTACTGCAGAAAGAAGCTTGAGGAGTCCTTCAATGATGCATCGACTAGATGAGATTTTTTTCAAGGTTAAATAACCATCATTAACCACTGTGGACATGACGCTCAGCATAAATAAAATAACTAAATAGAACATTCAATGAACGAGGGCAGTTCTGCGAAGAGCAGACGTGGCTTCTTCTGAGAAGAGAAAACAGATCAATTTACGGACATGGGTGAATGAAGACTAACAGGACGTCAGTGAGACAGGTTAGCCTCTGGGGTGTAGAAGGGGTTGGTTCAGGAGAAACTGGCCAAACATGGGATGAGGAGACAGAGTCCTGGGCTAATTAAAACCTCATTGTTAGCAGTTCCACTTGGTTTCATGTTGGTAAGACTTTATCAGCTGTTAAATCGCTGGATTCATGGATATATTCTGGTTTCCTTTCAATCTTTATTCTCTTTCATGTAGATCAGAAATAATTCAATTCCACTTTCTGGGGAAACCACAAAAAAAAAGGATTAAATCTATATTTTTCATAAGATGCACCCGGTTTGTCAACAATAACACACTGCAATCTCACTACATTTTCAGGCGGCAAAAATGGCTCACATCTGTGTGATGCACTCGATCCAATACACATGAATACATTTTCATTTTCCGTGCAGGGCTTTGACGGGGAGTCAAATCCAGGTCACCTGATCCTGGTTGTGATTCTATATGGAAATTGCCTTCTTTGCTGAGGAGAGAACACATCAAGCACAGGAGAAAGAGGGAGAGGAAAGGGAGTCGGGAGGGAGGGAGAGAGAGAGAGAGAGAGAGAGAGAGAGAGCGAGAGAGAGAGAGAGAGAGAGAGAGAAAGAATGATAAAGAGAAAGAGAGAGAAGAGGTGCAGCTGAGGGAGGATGGCGAGGAAGAAGTGACGGCTTGATGTTGCCATTAGTATCGGAGGAACATCAGTTAACCTGATTTCTTGGTTGCTATAAAGGCAGGAAAAAACAATCCAATTTCCATCCATATAATAGAAGATATAATGACATACTGAATATATAATGATATACATTGGTATTATGTCAAATGAAGGATATTTATGTGCACTATTTACGGTTGAGGGGTTATGGAGAGTTACTCAAATGTTGTTAGGGGCTTTCAGTGAAGTGAGACTGAACTCTTTTTTTTTTGGCGAAGAGAGCCAATCTCTGAGGCCAAGTTTCTATTTCATCAGGTTGCATTTTAGAAATTTTAAACAGCTTTGAATGTTCTCTTTCATGATCCACTGATCCTGGGTTTCAGTGTTAAAACTCAGCAGGAGGGAGAACAAACCATGAAAAAGATTTGTCCCTGCGCGAGTATCAAACAGCAACTTGAGGACATTTAAAGACGTTCACATCCATCTAATGCATACTTATCACGGGATTAAGCAGCAGCCATGTTTCCCCCTTTAACTGTCAATTGGAAAACAAGAAATGACTGCCTTTGAAAATCGCATTGTTTCAGCAAAAGCATTTGCAGCCAAACAACACACTGTATTCCACACAGCATGAAATTAACTAATCAAAATTCAAGGTCCAGGAGCACATTTGGCAGCTAAAGAAAAACTTCAAAATGGCTTTTGTGGTGTGCGGAAATGAATGGATGTTCTCATTCAGGGTGATGTGAAAGTATTGCTTGTCTATTTCACAGCTTACAGGTAATTTTTTTGTGTGTGTGTGAGTACACCCGGTTTCATTAAAAAATAATCATCCCTCACTTTTAGGCAATGAGGCAGAAGACAGGCATTTGAAACGACATCTGTTCCACCCGAGCCTTTGAAGTGAAAATAGAATAAACTGAAGGTAGAGCTAATGGAATGACAAAATAGAAAAAAAAGAAGGCTAAATAATCTCCAGGAAAATTCACGTGTATTCACACAAAGGAAAGAGTGATGACACTCAACAGCTTGCAGCTACATGCAATCAACCGGGGGAACAAGGGGCATATTCTTTTATTTATTTTTTTATTTCCTTCTCTTATTGTACAAGACTCATGTTTGTGAACGTATAGGAGGCTGACAGAGGAATATAAAATATCAATGAAAGACTGAAAAGAATACAGATGAAAAATGAATGAAGGGATGTCTCAACATGCCTACAAGCCTACAATAAACCAAAACTATACTACAGAATAATGTCGTTACCTTCAGTGACAGCATGAGAGGACAAGTCCACCCTTAGACACGTTGTTTTTGCTTTCATTTTCTCTCAACTTGTCTAATCAGCATCTTCCTACATTTCCCAGAATACCTTCAGAAAAAAACCCATGAGTGGGCGTGAACTTCTCTGAAAAAAAGGCTGATTAAAAAAAACTCATAATGTATTTTAGCATGATTTTATCTTACCAAGAAACATCTACATTAGAAGATTAAACTTGTTTTCAAGATAACTATTCTTGATTTTGCTATGTAAGATATACAGTCTATTTTTGGGCTAATAAGTGAATTGTCTGGCAATTCCCAAACATCTATTAAGAGGAAACTACTAAGGCTTTAGCACATGTTTCAAGAAGCAGACAGGCACAGTCTTCACTGCAAAATGTATTTATCTACAGTAAGAAAGGCTAATAATTATCACATTCGTCACACAAAGACAAAAAAAGCTTTACTACTTACATCAAGTCTCAAGCGACCTGATTTTTAAGCTAGTTAAGTCTCTTTCTTAGCTCCTTGGCAGATTTTTGTTGATCGATGATAGCTATTTTTGTTTGTTTCTAGGAGGGGATGACTGCAGTGGTTCTGTGGAGATTACCAGAATAAAGTTCATATCAGATACTGGTTATTATATCTATTATTATACTGTATAAATATTGTAACCAGTCGTTACTTTTGTGTCTTCCTCTTTCCCTTAATCACAAACACATTCATCAGAGTGGTTTTACTTGCTGGCTTTACAAATTATTGAAGTGGATAAACAAATATCAACCACGTATCAACTGTACAATATCAAGCTTATTTTCCTTGGTTTTCTCATTCAGGTGCGGAGAACAGTAATTATTATGACAGCTGTTGTTGTCAGTTGAGAAAAATACAGTCACATCCCTTATTCATAACGCAACATCTTGTGGCTGCATTGCATTCTGGTCTATTTTCTGATACTGTCAGTGGAGAGATTGGTATCTGGTCCTCTTCTCGATGGATTTCTCCCTGTGTTGACTGTGTTAATGCAAAATGGTGAGGCTGTACAGTAGCTCTTCTGATTCTGATGTGCTGACACTGGATCCTGATGTTTACCATTCGTATTTCAGACTGTTGCGCATTTATCTCCTGTCTTACAACACTGTAGTTGTGCTGGAGATATCGCGATGTGACATGATATAATTGTGTCTGGCCAGACATCCACAGTAAAAGGAAAAATACATATATACCCTCCTAAATAATAGACTGGAAGTTATTATAGGACTTTCCTGTATTTTGGGAAGCCATCCCCTGTACAAAGATGTCCTAATCAACCAGTAACCAGCTTCCAAGTCACTGAGGAAAAGGCTCAATTTCGTGATTAATAATCACTATTTCAACTACAATACACATGAGCGTCACATGAGTCTTCAGAATTTACAGACCATGTTCTTATAGAGACGTAAATACTGTGGCAATATATTATAATTTTAATATATATTGTCATTACAATGTCTTAATTTTTCAATACCATACCATGAAAAATATAATATGTGTTTTTTAACAAAAACAAAACATTTAACAAAGCCAAAATGTTCTCAAATGTTATCTATGCAGCCATTCAGGAACTTTGCCTGAGTAAAATGTCTAAAATTGGCAACATTCAGATCCAAACCAGCAACTTCCTAATCACAGATAAAGGAAAGACAACTGTGAATCTGAGCAAATAGTCGATGCCAGTTTTCGATGTTTAGTGCTATGTACACATTTTGGTCTGTACAGAGAAAGTATTGAGGTTCAATACCCTGCCTTAGCCATGAGGCCAGAAGATATATAATTCTCTCCTTTTTGGACACTGCCTCACTTTACAGAGCAGATCGACACTGATGTTGAAAATAAAAAGCATTTTCACTTAGCTATATTTTAAAGACCACAATGTAGAGATGGCCAAAAACAGCAAATGGCTGTTGCTAGGTGAGACCACCATGTCCTGTACAGAGCAGTAGAGTCTAAATATATGTTGTACACAGCTTTCTAGTTTACTAAAGAGTGAACTATAGTGTCAGCCTTAGCTTGCTCATCCCATCAGCGTTTCTGTTGTCTGAGAGAGAGAGAGAGAGAGAGAGAGAGAGAGAGAGAGAGAGAGAGAGAGGGGGAGGGGAAAGGGATTGAAGGGGTTGTGGATATGGGGAGAGAGATAGGGAGGAGGGGGTAGCTGTAATTCTGAATGGACAGCACTGCACTGGCAAGACAAGATTAGAATTGACAGCCTGATAACTGCGTCACTATCAAAACAGCAGAGACAGAAAGAGATAGAGAGAAGGAGGAAGAATGAGGAAGTGAGGGAGAGTGAGAGAGGGGTGGAGAGTGTGAGATGCAAAAGAAAAAGAGTTGATGTAGACAGAGCAGATAAAAGGAGGAGGGGAAGTGGAGTGATGTAGAGAGAAGAGGGTTGATAACAAAAAGAAGGACGGGCGCAGATGCAGAGACCGACAGAGTTTAAAATACATGAAAATTAGACAATAAAACGAGGTAATTGTATGGGAGAGTATAAAAGTGTTTGTCCAATCACAGTCTCCTGAATATATGCATCATCATCATCATCATCATATGCACTGAGCAGCAAAGTGGAGAGTGCTGCATGGTGTATCGATTTCAAAAGGCCATAAAAACAAACAGGAACTACTCAGAGGTGATGCACTGATACACTTTCTCTTTACAGTGATGGTCATTACATCAAAGCATGATGCAGATACTGAGCACAACACTAAA